AAGTCCTGGTGGCGAGCTCGAAGCGGCTGGTGCTTGGCTCTGGTGTGAACCAAACACCCGCCGAGACACTCAGGGGGCTTTTCTTCCCCTTCAACACAACCCACTGACCTCAAACTCGACCCAGAAGCCTCTGGCATGCAAGAAATGGAACTCAAATAAACCCAAAGCTGAGATACCTCTCGGTGGCCGCTCTCTTGTGCCGGAGAAGCTTTGGGCAGGGCCCTCCTCCTGGGCTAGCGGTGGGATGGGGCGGACACGGAGCCCCTCTCCTTCCTGCTGAGCTCTGCCATCACCAACCACAACCCAGACACGAGACAAGCAGTGTGTGTTGGCTTATTTAGAGGGATCATCTTCCATGCCAATGCCTCCTGTGGAAGAGGGCGCACCCAAAGGAGCAGCTTGGCTTTGCTCAGCACCCCGGAGCTCTCGGAGCCGTGGTGGGGCCCTGCAGCCCCGAGGGTGGTGCCTGCACCTCCAGGGAGAGCAAAGACACCAAAGATGCTCCCAAAAGAGGTGGCTCTGCCCGGCTGGGGAGGGGCTGTGCCGGGGGAACGGTGCACACAGGCCGTGTAGCAGCAGCAGGAAACTCAACGAGATTAAAAACAAAAAATAAAAAAGGACATTCCTCCCCTTATCCAGAGCCCCCCAAAACGCATCTTGCAAAATGCAAATGTGCCCAAGGCCTCAGAGGGACGACTTGTCCAGCCCTGGACAAGACACCACAGGGTTTTTCGGTCTGAAATAACAGCTCCCCCCTCGGCCCCTTCCCAGCCTGCCCCGGCACCAGCGGGAGAGGGGATGGGAATGGGCACCTCTTGTCTCCCCCTCACCAAGGAAAGCCTCCAACGCCCCGGAACAAACAACAAAACCAAACAAAGGGACAAAAAAAACCTAAAAAAAAACAAAACAAAAAAAACCAAAAAAACCCCAAAGAAACACTGTTATCACCAGCTAATTTAACACTGTTAAAAGGAAGATCAGAGGTCACCCGGGAGCCGCCCCGGGACACCAGACCTCCGACCCTCGGCCGATTTCCAAAGCCTTCCCCGCAGTCGGGCCTTTGCCAGCGCTCCTCCTCGCAGCAGAAGTGTTTTATAGATATTTATATATATATATTTATAATATTTAGATACTGTGTACGGTCAGACATCCCGGCTCGGCTCGGGTTTTTCCGCGGATCTCCCTCCTTTCCGGACGAAACGAGGCGCGCCACGACATCCCCCGAAAAAACACCTTCTCCGCGCCCCTTCCGCGGGAAGAGCAGAAGGCTTTCGGCAGCTTCACCCGGGGGAGAGGGGGGGGGGGGAAAAGTCCCGAGATCGGGAGGCTCTGCGTGGTGGAGAAGCTCCTCAGCCCTTTCTCTCCTCCCCTCCTGTCCATCCCTCGCCCCCACCCCGCCCCTCCGTCCCTGGCGCCGCCGCGGCGTGGGCGTTACACGGTGGCCCCCAGCATGGCGTCTGTCCCTGCCAGGATCTCGTTCTGGTTGGAATCCAGTCCGAAGAACTTGACCTTGAGTCCGTCAACCGGGTGGACCACGGGCACCAGGGTGATTTTGGGGAAAGTCCTGGTGGCGAGCTCGAAGCGGCTGGTGCTGGCCAGCTCGATGGCCAGGGCCTTGAGGAAAAGCTTGGCCAGGTGCTTCCCCAGACAGGTCCGTACTCCTCCTCCGAAGGGGAGGTAGTGGAACCTGCCGTCCTTGTCTTCGCTCCGGCCCTGCTCGAAGCGCTCGGGGTCGAACACGTCCACGTCCTTGAAGACCGGGGCGGTGTCGTGGGTGTCCCGGATGCTGTACATCACACTCCAGCCCTTGGGGATCTGGAAACCCTGTGGAGAGGCGGGAAAGGGGGGGAGAGAAAAGCAGAGTGGGTCAAACTCTACCGTCAGCAGAGAGGGAGCAGAAGGACAAGATAAAGGCACTTTGTTTTCGTACAATCGGTCGTAGAATCATGGAATGGTTTGGGTTGGAAGGGACCTCAAAGATCATCCAGTTCCACTCCCTGCCATGGGCAGGGA